ACAATCACGTTTAGCCAGCGCCGTGTGGCTGACTCCGATATTAGCCGTTTAGTGTCCGGGAATAATCTGTCCATCATCATCCATACAGCTTTACCGCACCGTGTGGCTAAAGTGTCATTTAACTGGGCACTAGGAGCATGAGCCTTATTTCGGCATTTATACGTAATCCATCATTCAATCTCTAATCCCTCACGATATCACACTTCTTCATGTTTGCAATATCCTCTGAAAAGCTATATACTATTGTTTTCTTTTAAAATACACGATTTCCGAGAAAGTCAAAGTTCGGAGAAGTACACACTGCCTTTATACATTACTGTTTTAGAGTGAAACATAAATGAAATGCGTATGTTAAAACATTATTACAATTCAAAGCGTGGAATTGGATAGTGAAAAATTAAAGTTGGTTGAGCTGTTGATAAAATGTTGTCATTTTTCGCTCACTTAGGAATACCCATAATCTGGCAAGGTGACTGAATGTTTGGTTGACACGACAAGGAATAACGGCGATAAGGTTGTGATTGGAACGGTGATTAGTATCGTACAAAGGCCTTCTGACTCCCTTTATATAGACTTCTTCTTCTCAATATCAGGTGGAAACAGGTAAACATTGTTGGAATGTGTCTAATCAAATATTATAAAATTTATCAGTCACCGCAGAGGAAATAAAGTACTACAGTATCCGGTACTTCGTGCTGCGCAAATGTTTGTAAATATGTGGTGTATTAAATACTGATTTAATTTGCCCCGATATTTATGAACCATTCAAACAAATTTATCAACAGGAAATTTAATAAGGTAGTACATAGGTTTTACAGCTTCTGATTATTGCGGTTATTTTTCAGGGGAATTTCTTTACTTCAAATTTAAATGTATAAATGTGACCATTTAAGTTTAATTTTAAATAAGTTCCTCTTCACACTCTTCTCTCTCTCCCTCTCTCCCTGTCTCCCTCCCTCTCTCTCCCTCTCTCTCCCTCTCCCCCTCTCTCTCCCTCTCTCTCCTCTCTCCCTCTCTCTCCCTCTTTCCTCTCTCTCCCCCCCCTCCTCTCCCTCTCTCACTCTCACCCTCTCTCTCTCTCCCGCCCTCTCTATCCCTCTTTCTCTTTCTCTCTTCTCTTCTCTCTCTCTCTCTCTCTTCTCTCTAAAAAGAAAAACAGGGTTTTATCATTGGACTAATTAATTTATTTTAATGGATCAGAATTAGTTTTCAGAATCTCGAATTGTATGATAGACAATATTTGTTTTATTGTTTTTCAGTGCATTAAATGTTTTAGCTTTTTAATTATTGTTAGCTTTAACAACTTTCAATCGTTCTTTTCTCAAAGATGATAATAAAATCATATCATTGCATTGTTATTTAGAGGCAGCAAACTTAACAAATACGAGTATAAAATAATTTCATTTTGTACCAGCCATTATACTAGCAGATATGGTGCGCATGTTATTTTCATTTATACGTCATGAAATTGTGTTCAACAATTATATTCAAGTATTACTACAATATACAAGATTTCTATACTAATTTTTCTCATTTGTTCCTGTAAATGTTAATAAAAACTTTTCATATGTAGGTCCATTGTATATGAATATTTTGTCGATTCTCTCTCATTCCTTTTCCATAAAGAACACGGATGTGCGTGTTGTAGTCACAAATGTCTGTAACGTGCATGCAAAATGTTGTAATGTGCATCCAAAAACAATAATACACCTTCGATTTTGACTAAAAATGGAAATATTTGTGTTGCCCCCTTTCTCATATTGCGCGTACCGACTGAATTCGCATACTCACTGTGTCTCGGCCATCCACAAATCTGACGTATGAGGGGGCAAGGCTCCGGGGAAGACACCACCATTAAATATTTGTAGTTCACGTGCTGCGTTATGGAACAGCAACCTTTTTTATATTATTGATATGTAAAGAACTGCTATATTGTGTATCTGAATACACTGTACTGAATGTTATTGCAGTATTGGCGAAGGCTGTTTTTTGAAATATTTAATTTATTGAAATTGTTATATGCGCGGGTATTTTATTTGTTGTTCTTGGGCAGTGTCCGCGCTACTTCTAGGAAAAGCGTTTTGTGTGGTATAGTTCAGCAATATTTTTGCTCATGCAGGCCACTATTCTGGCTAGTGTACGTAGTAATACAATATTTTGTTAAATATCGTCTATTTACATTATAGTATAAAAAGGCAATCCAAGACTATAATTTAACAAAGCATCATCATTTATGTATTATTATCTTAAAAATATAGTATTATTGTTATTATTATTGTTGTTATTATTTGTTGTGAATGATTTATGTTAAGTTACTATTTGCAAGGTGTTGAATTACTTTCTATGGCCTCAAAGTTGATAGAAGAAAAATATGTTTGTTAGAACTAGCTTTAACGATGGAGAAATTATATTTCCGCAAAGATGGAAATAATTTATTAAAATTTTGTAATTTTTATCCATTCAACATTAAAAACACTGTCAGAGGAAATAATGTCGAATGCATCACTAAACACCTATTAAATAACAGTGAAATGAGTACTAACCTTTTATTCATTTCATAAATTGAAATCATTAGAGAAATACATTTATAAACGTAACAAACAGCATGTTTTCGTTGCAATGAGAATAATAGTTCATCATACTCATTAAGCGTTATTTATTATTATTATTATTATTATTATTATTATTATTATTACTGAATTTCGAACCATAATACAAATACAACTTATTATTTTCATTCAATCTCAAGAAGCACGATTCAGGAACGAATTAAAACTTAACACTTAATTTCAGTAAGGGATCCTTTTAAAATAGTGTCTGCAAATACAAATACAGAAATATTGAGACGGGTAATTGACACAGTCTTGGAATACATTTAGTGTGAAAAAGAAAGTAAAGTATATGCTGGAAATTGAAAAAATTTTGAAACGAGTTGATTAAGTGCTTTGGTACACATATTCATTGAAATTTTATATTTTAAATATAATTTAAAATGTGACAATGAAGTAACGAATCAAACTTAATTTTATTACTAACAACATTAGTCTGGATGTCCGTTATTCATATTCTCATTCCCTCAATTATGAAGCCACCTGCATTCTGGACCATTTTTCTCCAGAATGATCACTGGCCGCTTGAGACAGGTTTCACTGAAGTATATTACACTTAATGGAAATGCAGTTCAAATTCATATTCTTGCATAAAGAGCAATACTCTGGTAAAACTAGCATTAGCGGGCATCAGATATTTTCTTAGATAAATCATAATTGGTAAATAATTTTATAAAGTGGTATTTTCTTTGAGGACATAAGACGATATTTTTTTGAATGAATAAAGAGAATGTGAACACCAAAGATAGTACCCTGATAAGTTGTGTCTATCATGCTTTTAAAGTAGTAAACATCCCATTCCTCCTAGAAGATACTTTGAAGTGTCAATACCTGTTATTTCATTTAGACGTTAATATTGCAGAAATTGTATTGTTGTTATTATTATTATTATTATTGGTTTGGGAAGGAACCATGGGAAACTTCTATTATTATTATTATTATTTATTATTATTTTTCTTTTTGAGATAACTTTCTAAGAAGAAAACTGCCAGAAACTTTACAAAGTCATAGGCAACCATACTGACAAACCTGCCAATTTGGCGAGTGCTAAAGGCGCGAACGAGAGCACGTGTAAAGTACATCTTGAAGGAGGCAGTATCGCTCCCGGGTCACGAAGGAGAGCAGCGCTGCGCAGCCCCACGCGCGGCGCCGACTCTGTCCCCGCCACCGGCCGCTTTTTAATGGAGTCGGCAGATAATAACGCCGAGTGTTGGGCGGTCGAGAGTTTCCTGTGCAACCCCGCGCCCTCGCGCCCTTTGCCCACCCACAGCCCCGCCGTCACACGCCGCCTTCCTTTCGCCCGCGCCGCACTCGCCGCCCGCACGAAAATGGTTTGCGTGCGCTCCTCCCGTTCGAAAGAGGCGGAGCTTCCGCGATGCCCGCAGATAGCAGCACCTCGAGCCCCGGTCCGCCCTGATGCGCCGCACTCCGCCGCCAGCGCCACCGCCGCCGCCGCCACGCGCCGCGCAGCCGCCACCGGGGCCCCGTAATGGTGAAGGAGCTTTCTGGTGTATAATAGTACGGTATCGAGAGGGGGAGGGAGGAGATAGGGTTCGCGCAATTAAAAGGACAGCGCGAGAGCAGGCGGAGTCGGGCGAGAGAGCGCGCGTCCTCAGAAGACGGGTGGACGACGACAGCAGCGGCGGGACGAACAGTAAGGAGCGCTGGGACGGTCGGACGAGACGGACGCGCGTAGGGAGCGAAAATACCGTAGTTTTAGGATTTGGGTTCGGGTGAATGCCGTCGCCGAATGCAAGCTTTGGCGACTTGCGTGGTCTCCCTCCACCTCGCGCACCACCAGGCCGGGTCGCGCGCGCGCCGCCCTGCCCGCCCGCTCGCTCACTTGCTCCGTCCCTCACTCTCTTCTCTCTCGCGCGCTCACTCACATCCACATACACACGCGCGCGACCGCGCACCGCGGCTCCTCCAGCGCCCGGCCCGCCACGCCCCGCCCCGCCTTTCTCTCGCACCCTCTCGCTCGCAATCGCCACGACTCCCGTCTCTCTCGCGTCCGCAAGTACGAAAGTCTTCCTTCTTGTATATAGCGCAGATATGCCCTCCCCGTCCCGACCCGTGCCGTCCGGTCGCGCCCCGCCCCGCCCCGCTCGCCGCGCGTTGCGCCGCCCGCCTCCTCCGTCAATGCTCTTTTTACCCTCCTCCGGGCGTCGGCGCGCGCGCCGCCCCCCTCCTCTCTCTCAGGAGCCTCGTCTTAGCACGCCAGCGCCCCCCGCCCGCCCCGCGCGCCCGCTGCGCCGGCCCCACCACGCGCCCGCCGCGACCCCACCGCGCGCCGGCCCCCACCAATCGCCGGCCGCCCAGGCGCCGCGTCGGCTGCGCCGGAGGCCCGAGAATTCTGCGTGCTCAGTTTGAAGGAGGAGTTGCGTGGATAGGATGGGCTTGTTGCCGCACGTGCCAGCATTTCGTCTATCACGTGTTTGACTTTTCTTCAAGACTTTTTATTTCCGACCACGCTGTCGCCCGGGCTGTCACGGGCCGCGACATGCACTGTGCGCCCGACCCTCGCTGAGCGGCGCCTGCTGATTTTGCCTGGCTGGCGCTCCTCCGCCGGCGACAGCCCCTCGCCCGCGACCGGCCCACCCGCAGCCGCAGCTTCTTCTTCTTCTGGTGCGCCACGCGAGGAGCCACGGCCACACTGGAGGCAGCCTTCGCGTCAGACGACATGCGCGGTGCCCGGCGCCGGCCGCTGCCTGGACGCACCCCCTGCGGAAGGTACGACGACGTCCGACGGCGTGCCGCCCCCGCGGCTCGGGCCCCGCTCCACCTGTGCCCAGTGCTCCTCCCCCGCCGACGAGTGCGTCGCTGTCACCGAGTGTCACCAGTGACCTCCGACGGGCTATCCGAGGCGCGGACAGTGCGCGGCGAAGACAGCCGCTGTCAGCGGCCGCCAGTGATAGTGGACTGTAATGAGATATGCGTGTGGGCGGTGATAAGCGCGCTGCAATTCGGGGCGAGTGCGGGCCGCGGGCGCGGGCGCCGCCCACCACGCCTCCGCCGGCCCGCCGCCGCCGCCACCGCCCTCCTGCGTGAGGTCGCGTTCTTGTGCTCTCGCCGATATTCGTGTTCTCCGATCGGTTCTCCTCCCCGCTTTCTTTCCCCGAGCCATTATCTACAGATTGTTTATATTTCCAGGAATCGTGTCGGTCGCGTTCGACAGTATAAAACTTTTTACTTTTGTCACGCGATCGCGGCCGTCCCTCGGCGACACAATCACACGCAAGAATTAAGACTTTTGTTTTGTGGAGTTGCCCGTTATTTCCTCTGGGAAAGCTCGAAAAAATCGAAGTCGTAAAACTTAGGTTTTCTTGTGTCACTCGCGACAGTGAATAGCGCCGTTTCGGCACGTCAAACGACTTCTGTCGGGGACTCTGATATGTGCCTCACCGTTAAGTTTTAGTTGTGCCGTGTTTCTTTGTTGATGAGTTTTGTTTCGGTGCTGCTACCGCGAGTGAAGTATCTGTTGACGTGGAAGGACGTGCCGGTCGAACCATTCGTGCAACCGTGCAGTGTTCATTTGTCCGTCGGCATGTTGCGCGGCTGCGTGTTGTTGCCTTAGGCCTAAATACCACGAGTGCCGAAGAAACGTTACGATTCGTGTCAGATGTAAACTGCCTGCGGGTGAACCGGAAACGAAAGTTATAATCACATGTGGCTTCAGTACATCATTGGCTTCTTATAAATGAAAGCGTCGCTGCAATTATTTATGGTTGATACTGTTTCTTTTAATTCATCGTAAAAAGAGACGTGTTTGGTTAGTCTCGCGAAGGCGGTCGTGTTTTTTCTGCGCCTGTTTGAGTTACGGTTCAAACAGCGTGTCCTCGGATCTTGTGTCGTCTGTTTCCAAGAACCATCAAATGCGAGTGAGTAATAATTTTCTCGTGCAGCGTATACATCTTGCGGGGTAGGTCCTACAAATAGACCGAACGCGTTATTTTGCTTTATTGCGCGCACACGATCTTTTTTTTCCGTCGATTCGCAGGGCAGCTGAAGACTTTTGCTGGTACCTTCGCCCCGCGTGTTCGTCTCTTGACGTTCGCACCGAGCCGTATTCTTTTCTTCACGACGGCCGACAGTGGCACTAAATTTAAAAGAAACACAGGCGCTGTCCGACTCGCAGAGATTATATACCTTGATTCCGAGAATAATCAGAGTGGCGATTGCGCCTTGGGCGGTGGAAGAGGCGAGCGCGAATGAAAGAGGAATAATAAAAAAGAAAAACGGCGGTTAGACCGAGGGGGAGCGGGAGGAGAAAATCGAAAAGGGGAAACGCAAGAAGGAGGCCAAAAAGAACACCGGTGGACATATATATGAAAGTTCCGTTCGCTTGCGTGAGGCGAAGCCGTTTTTGTTGCAAGCTGTGCCCCCGGGCCGCTTGCAATATTCGATTTTGTCCGCGGGCGCACGCGATTTCGCCCGCGCGGGCGGCGCTCTTCGCCCGGCGATCGCAAGCGGGCGCGCGCCGCCGGGCGAGCATTTGCACGCCCCGGGGGAGGCGCCGTCCCTGCCCCCGCGCGCGGAAGAAACCGAATAACCCGGAATCTTTTACTTATTTTTCTTTTTTCCAACAGCAGTAAGCTATCATTCACCGCCCGCGCGAGATGAATTCCGTGACAGACTACCGCGCGGTTCCTCCGGAACGTGGAGGTATCAGTTATCAAAATAAAGTTTTGCCTCCCTCCCCCCACCCGTCTCTGGGCACAGTGTTTTTTTTTCTTTCTTGGCGACGCGTGTGCATGTGTGTGTCTAACGCGTTGTTTCCTGTGCTTTGGTTACAGTGTCTCACCTAAGCGGCGCCTGCCAACCGGTGTCCACCGGCGGTGCGACTTGTGATTGGGAGATGGACGGTGCGAAGGCAGCGACAAGTGTAGCGGGAACACGCGCCCGCCTCTGAGTCCACTTCTACACACTCTCTGCGTACACAGACAGTCGTTGAGGAGGGTTGTCCACCGGAAGAGCGAGAAAGAGAGAGGAGAGAGGACAATTCGAAGGCCGCGAGCGCAAAGTGAAGTGCGGAAGTGAAGTCGTTCTGGAGCGAAGAGCCTGGGCGATGCAGCCGCAGCAGCTGGGGCGACGACGCCAGCGGCGGCACCGCTGAGCGGCGTCGCGACGCCCATGCGCCCCGACCCGCCGCGCCCGCCGTCCTCCCGTTACGAGCGCCGCGCGGACGCGCGTCGCCCACCTTCGCAACCCTGGCCGCAGCGATGGACATCCAGGCCATGCAGTCCATGGACTGGCTTTTCAAAAAGGAGCGCATCTACCTCCTCGCGCAGTTTTGGCAGCAGGTAAGCCAACCGCCGACTCCCCCGACCCTTACACGTGCCGTCTCCCCATAAGTGTTGTGTTTGTGTGTTGTGATACGTGTTTTTGTGTTTTGTTGTTGTTGTCGTTGTTGTATAATGCACGTCGCGTCGCCCTTGCGTGTGATTTCCCTACGTGCTGCATGGTACCGCGGCTCCGTGTCCTGACGCGAATCCACCTCCGCGTGGATGCACCGCCTTCAAAGGGCGGTCCACTCCACGCGCAAGTGGATTTCCTTTCCCGTACACCGGAGCCCGCGACGTCTTAGACGATGTGTAGTGCCCTGACAGTGCGATGGACTGGACATTTCCCCCCTTTTTTTATTCTTCCTCCAACAGGCTGTATCAAGTAGTTCTCCACATGTAGCAGACTTTCTATCACCTCCCTGTTCAGTGAAACTGCTTTGTATACGTGTTCAGTGTTTAGTTTTAGTGTTTCTAATAGGGGTGGCGTGCTGTGTTATCGATGTTTTTGCGCCTGTAGTCGAGCTGCCCGTGCGTGGCTTGGTCCACAGATCGAAGTGCACGATGCATGATTTGCACCGCCGATAACGCCGACCTGCGCCAATTTTATTTAATTTTTTGCCACTTTTTTTTGTTGCCTTCGTTGATATTTTTCTCGAACCCCGCCCTGTGTCGTGGTTCTGCCGCCAATCAGCGTCTGCCTTCGGCACGGTGGGCGACGCGGTTGCGACACGCGTGTTTGCGGCGCGGATGTGGCGCAAGGCAGGCGCATGTCGCTGTCATACGCCGAGCGATACGTCAGGAACTTTATGCACACAATGGACGGCCTCGCGAGTCCCTTGGTCGCCTACCGACAGCGCTGATCGCCGCCACTGCATCTGAAAAGTCTGGGCTCTACCTCGGGCTAAAGTTCGTCGATATGTCTTGGTAGACGTCTGTTATGATTTTGAGATGAAGGGAATTCGTAGATGGTTCCTTGTTCCATGTATGAGGTCTTGAGTTATTGAGCGAAACGAGATTATTCTGTATTTAAAATTGGATTTGTTAATCAAATTACCTTACTCAGGGAACTCAAACAATAGTAGCAGTAACAAGCTTAACCTTATTTCAATATTTTACTAGAGGCTGTGTATTAATTTTTAACATACCTCCGACGATATTCTTCGCCTTTTGTCCATGACTGCTACCCATCTCGAGAACTCAAATATTCCCCAATAATAGCGAGCAAATGTTAATCTTATATTCGTTGCTTATAAATTCACTAACAATATTCTGGAATTTTCTTCTGAACGAAGTAGTTTTTCGACGTCTCAAGCATCCTAAAAGAAATTACAATACGGAAATGCGAATCAAACAGTCCAGTCTGACGGAATAGTGCGCAAGTGGACAGCGCCCGATCGCGGACCTCCCACAGCCTCCCAGGGGCGCCGTTGAGGGTGTCCCTCGCGGAATGCGGCTCCCCGCTCCGCTTGCGGACACGGCAGCAGGGCGCCAAAGCCACGGATCACTTGGCGGCAGACACGTCGCCACGGCCGCCGTCATCGTCGTAGGTGTTTTCGACATCGCCCGGCACCGGGGTGGCCTGGCATTGCAGGCGCATTTCCGACCGCCCCTCGCTCGCCGTCCCGCCCCCGCCCTCCGTCGCCCCGCGTCGCCCGCCCCTCCAATCACCGGGATCGCCTCCTCACGCCCCGCGGAGTAAATTGGTGCAATTCCGAGAAGCTCACCAAACACTCGAAGAATCCGGTAGATTCCATATATTTCTCCGTTTGACAGCCACGTTAGAGTGGCGCTAAAGGCTTGCCCATACCGTGAAATTCTTCCTCGTTTCTGGGCCATTTGTTAAGAAACAATTAACGCAGCACACCGCGGCCTTTGTGCGTCATTTCGCAACGGCCGTGTTGTTGAGGTTATTTCGGAGACGGCCGCGGGCATTGGGTGATGTGCGAGATGCAGGCCCTTCTGGTCGCCTGTCGATGTTCTTCGGTTCCTGACTCTTTCACGCGAACAGATAAAAAATATCGTGTTAAAAACGAATGCCCTCTGCAAGAAACTCGATAGCAAACGGGAGGCTGTCGTCTCCAGGTCGCTATTTAGTGAATGTTTGCGCGAAAAAATGTAGTAAAATATACACAGGAAGTGGGAAAGTGGTGCGATAAACTCGCTTCTTCCTTGTGAAAACAAATGCTCGTGGTGAGAAGTTCTGTTCTATTTTTATAAAATCCAAATCGTATTAAAATGAGAATATCTCAATGGTTGGTCATTTCGCAATCCACACATGAAGAATGTCCGATTTGCATGTAATGTCATATTAGAAAATGATTCATTAATGTTACGTAAAGAAAAGATAGTCCTGGTTTTATTTCTTTTGAAACTAGATTTTTTGTAATAATAGGCGGTTTTTCTGTCCGACTTGAACCATATTTGTAGTATTGGGAACAATATATTTGACATATAATTTCAAACAAAATATGTAGGAATATGAGATAAGAATAAAATATTGCATACGTTCGTTTAGAACGGAAGACTGTTTCTACTGTAGCGTAATACAAGATTACGTGAGCTCACGCATAACTTCTGCAAGAATTCCAAAAGCTTCATATCTTTAGAAAGCGCATTCTCTACGTCAATTAGTGGGTTATTTTTTCGAAAAGTATTAGGAAGTCTTTTTGGCATATTGACTAGCTACATTTTCTCTGGAAAATGCTCGAAAGTGTCGAACAAGTTTTATCTGGGTTAGTTAAGTGAATTATGAAGTCGGAGAATATAAAATAAAAATTGTAATGAATCTTATAATCAAATGATCTGGATATTGGACAATAACAATAATAATAATTATTATTAATCATTATTATTATTATTATATTATTTGTTATCACTCCCCAAAATAAGAGAAAAAACGTCCATGAGACATATTCATGAACGGAAAAATATTTTTCTTCGCTATTTTATAATCACAAATAGATGCACTGGGTAGTTTTCCTGAAGGCATAATCTATTTCATTCTTTCCTCAATTGATAATCGTAAATCGAAAGGAATACAGAATATGTTTCCTTGAGCTAATAAAAAGGTATCGCAAGTCAAATACTTCAAATTCAGACTTCGGTGCGAACCTGAGAGTGATATGAAAAGCTATGACGAACCTTACTAGCGCTTTTCAAATTTTCCTCTTAGTACAAACGCATCAAAAGGCTACAGAACCCCCATACGAGAAATACTGCTCAACGCCGGTCAGCACGAGTCGTTGCCCAGTACTTGTCGTCCACGCCTCTTCTCGGGCGGAGCTGCCGATCTCCTGAGGGTGATATGAAAACCAATGGCGAACCACGTCAATGCCGCTCATAAAATATCCCTTTCAGCAGAAACTCACGAGAATGCTACAGAAATACAGCGCAACGTTGATCAGGGCGGGTGGTTGTCCGTAACTCCTCCGAAGCTGGCGATCTCGCGACGTCGCTGCCTCCTCCTCCTCGATGGAGCGGAAGCGGAGGGGGCGTTGGCGGTGATTGGACTTCCCCCGATAGACGCCTCCGACGCCGCGCGGTTTCCGATACGCGCGTGCGCTTCGCGGAACGAGATAATCGCCGGATCGGCAGCCGCCGCCGCCGGCGCGCCCCGCGCGTAGGCCGCCCACGGCGACTGCGGCTGCTGCTGCGTGGACATTCCGTTGCCCCATGCGTCGGGCGGGCGGGCGGACTGACGCTCTGCTCTTTTACTCTTTGCTCGGTGCGCCGCGGCGTGTGGTTGGAGCTCGGAGTTGCATGCGATTCCTAGCTGCATGCTGCATGCGCTGTAGGCCATAAAATATGCGAGGCTGTGATGATTGCTTTCTGCGTATCGCGGTACGTCTGGGAGTTTCGAACTGTGGGGCAGGAGGGATGTATTGTGTATATTGTTGCATTACGCGTTAGAGATGATAGCTAATTAGAGATTGAAGGATACAATGAGATTGATATTTATTTACTTTGCTACTTCCAGGCAATTTTTGTTTCCTTTATGTTCTAACATTGATATCGAGTTTGATGAACATTTCCGAAAAATTATGATTTATTACTATGAAAGGAAAGCAATGGATGACGTAACATTTGTCAGTTATATACAATACTAATATTAACATTTTGTGAGAAAAGAGAATAAGATGTATTTTGGTTTTAGCAAATCAAACTCAGTGTTGTTGAAAATAGAACTTAGGAGAATGTTGCCTAATTATACTCTCTCGAAATACAATAATAGAACTAGCTAAATTTTGTACTTTTTTATGTAAACAAAAATACAATATGCAAAAACTCTCCTCTAAAACAATTTATTAGCCAAGTCTGAAAATATATCGATTTTTACAGAGTTCAAATTGAAGGAAAAAGCAAATTAGTCAATCATTTCCTATTACTGATACACAATTATCAATTCTATCTAGAAATGTAAACGCGAACAGTTTCATTTTTTATGACCGACTATGCGAATTAAAAATGTAAAAGTTTTACGCCTATTCTATTGTACTAACAAATACTTTACTTCATTATAAAAATTGTGATGTCCCCCGAATCCTGACACGACCTGTGTTTTCGTAGATACCAGAGAAAATATCGGTGCTCAAAAATACTCAAAATTACACCGTCAGTCATTGGTACAACTCTTTCAGGCTGGTCTGTAATCTGAGCTGCATGAGACCCCAGAGGTTGCGTCTATTGCAGAAACATTTTCTCCCTATGATTTAGTAAATCTGATTTTTTATACCTGTAAGGTGAATTATAATTATTATAAATATAATAAAACTAATTATAAATATTCATTGATATTATTTTAATAATTATTGTTAAGAATTCTTGCAGGGAATATTGTCATTTTCAGACTTCTTTTGTCAGAAAATGTTCTAAAAATATATCTCTTTTCCATGATGATAATTCATAGTATATACAATGGAAGTATATAAAAAGGTACTTAGAATAAAGTTGGCAGAAAATTGCCTAAATAGTTTTATGACGTAAGAAAATAACTGAAACTCAAAATAAATATTTTTCAC